CTTAGCCCAGAGGCCCACACCACACCCCACCTCACTCTCGAGGTTTACACTGCACCCCACCTTGTACCCTCACCTCCACCTCAGCCCAGAGGCCCACACTCTACCCCGCCTCATCCTGTCTCACCGCGGGATCCACACTGCCCTCCCACCTCACCCCACTGCTCCCCCTGCCAGCTCCCTGCAGCCTGGCCTCCCGCCCGCAGTACCAGGCAGATTGTAGACACCGCCCGCTGTACCTGTTCCGTGTCTCTACCTGCTCCGTGTCCCCAGGGTTCAGCCTGGAAGGAGCAGTTGTCCTAAGCGAATCCAGCAGTTCCCTGCAGCCCCCATGTTTTCTGATGGTGCACAGCTGCCACCAGTCCCCTCAGCTGAGGCTCCCAGAGTGGAAACAGCCACAGAGGCCTTGCACACGGCGACCTGGGTTCTGTGTCTCTCAGGAGGAGCTTGTACTGACAGTCGGAGTGGGAGCAGGAAGTGGACAATGTGTATGTGTGTGTGTGTGTGTGTGTCTGTGGTGTGGGTGTGGCACTGCATCTACCCTTAGGCTGTAGGGTTGGCGTCACTTGGACACTTTGGAAACTCTGGCTGGTGGGCAAACAGACAGAGAACTCCCTTGTTTAGAAAGCTTCACAAGCGTCCATGAACTTCGGAATCAGCCCACTCTAGATTCGATGGGCGTCTTCCACACCAGGGCCTGGGTGTCCTCTGTGGACTCTCCGCCCCCACACCCACCTCCTGAGAAACTCTTCACTCTGAGAGTTCCCTTCTCTGATTTCACACCTGCTCACAAAATCCTGATCTTAAGTGTGGTTCAGGAACCTAACACCCAGCCGCTTCCTTCAGTCTTGTGATCTACAGACCCACTGTGCATGCATGCCTCTCTGAGCTTCTCCACTTACCTTGTCTTTAGCAGTGGCTTGGCCAGAGGGGGAGAGAAAATGTGGAAAAGAAGAAGTGTAGAAGGAGAGGGGGGGTGTGGAGGGAGAGAGGAGAGGATGTGTGGAAAAGAAGTGTGGAAGGGGAGGGGAGGTGTGTGGAAGAGGAG